AAAAAAAAAAAAAAAAAAAAAAAAAAGAATTAGTTAAATCTGTTACCTGCATGAATAGGAAAAATAGCATAGAAAACTTTCATTTAAAACTGATAGAGAACAGGCAATGAAAACAAGTAAGGACATTATGGAGAAGATATTCTGCATAATAGAATATATTCTGTTATCAAGAATAGAACTTGGAAGGTGACTTGGATTCAGCCTTCATTTTTGGAACACCTGCTCCATTCTGGGCTCTTGTCAAAAGCTACAGTTTGTTAAGCTCTTGCCACGTGCCAAGCAGTGCACTAAACGGTGCATTGACTACCTCCTTTGATCCAGACAGCCCTATGAAGCACACACTATAATTAACCCATTTTACAAATTGAGAAACTGAGGCTCAGAGAGGTGACAAGAGATTTTCTGTTATCTCATTTAACCTCATGCATTCCTTTGAGGTGACTGTGATAATTCTCTGGGGGCTCAGAAAGTAATACACCAAAGTCCCCAAACTGAGGGGCTAAGTTCAAAAGTAGTGAGTTATCTCAATTTGATTATTCAGTTACAGATGAAACTCCTTGTTCGACTCTTTACCCTTCTCACTGCTGCACTTGATGTATGTAAGAAAAGAAAGAAGAGAAGGAAGGGAGGGAGGGAGGGAGGGAGGGAGGGAGGGAGGGAGGGGAAGGAAAAAGAAGACAAGAAAAGGAATAGAAGCAAACTCCTGTAATCCCAGAGGCCGAGGCAGTCTGATCACTTGAGGCCAGGAGTTCAAGATCAGCTTGGCCAATATGGTGAAACCCTGTTTCTACTAAAAACACAAAAATTAGCTGAGCATGGTGGCGCACACCTGTAATTCAAGCTAGTCAGGAGGCTGAAGCAGGAGAATGCTTGAACTTGGGAGGTGGAGGTTGGAGTGAGCCGAAATAGCACCACTGCACTGCAGCCTGGGCAAGAAATCGAGACTCTGTCACAAAAAAACAACAACAAAAAAAGAAGCAGATTCAAAAGCAGTCTCTCTCCTGCCTTCCTGTCTGTAGCCCCTAAGCCATAGAAACTAGAATATCTCTTCCCCAATGCAGGTCATAGAAACTAGAACCCTTTTCCCCCAAAGCCAGGCATAACAACCGAAAATATTGCTCTTGGGCTACATAGTGGCTCACGCCTGTAATCCCAACACTTTGGGAAGCTGAGGCGGGTGGATCACGAGGTCAGAAGTTCAAGACCAGCCTGGCCAAGATGATGAACCCCCATCTCTACTAAAAATACAAAAAATTAGCCAGGTATGGTGGCAGGCGCCTGTAATCCCACTACTCGGGAGACTGAGGCAGGCAAATTGCTTAAACCCTGGGCGGCAGACGTAGCAGTGAGCCGAGATCACGCCACTGCACTACAGCCTGGGTGATAGAGTCAGACTCTGTCTCAAAAAAATAAAAATAAAAAAATTTTGCTCTCACTTTCCTGCCTCCCATCCTACCCCCCACCATCTTTTTGTGTAACAGGTGACCATAAAGAAATTAAGACCCTTGGCCAGGTGTGGTGGCTCACGCTTGTAATCCCAGCACTTGGGAGGCCAAGGCAGGTGGATCACAAGGTCAGGAGTTCGAGATCAGCCTGGCCAACACAGTGAAACCCCATCTCTACTAAAAATACAAAAATTAGCTGGGTGTGGTGGTGGGCGCCTGTAATCCCAGCTACTCAGGAGAATCACTTGAAACCAGGAGGCAGAGGTTGCAGTGAGACGAGATTGCATCACTGTACTTCAGCCTGGGCGACAGAGCAAGACTCCATCTCAAAAAAAAAAAAAAAGGGAAAAGAAAAAAGAAATTAAGACCCCTTATTTCTTAATAAGGGTCCTGCCCCATACCCAGGAGGGAGGAGTGCTGCACAGAGAGGCCAGGAAGAATCTGGACAGACAGGCCTTGCTGAGCTTCCTCACTCTGTGTCTTACTAGCATTAGAACATGCCCTTTCTGTCCAGTCATATTTCGCCACAGCTGCCCATACTCCATTAAACCTAAGCATAAAAATGGACAGTTTCCCTCATGTTTTTGTGTCCTCATTCTGAAGGCTCTGTGCCACATAAAACTATAATGAAATAAATTTGTTATGCTTCTCGCTTGCTAACTTGCCTTTGTTATAGGAGCGTTAGCCATGACCCTTATGATAGAAAGAGATTACCCTTTTTGCCCCTACAATCCCCATTTTATGGATAGAAAAACTGAGGCCCAGAAAGGGGGAATTTCGTGTCCCAGGTCACACAGCTCCAGAGAAGTGGATCTTCTTGGAAGTGGATCTGGAGGTGTGCTTTGAGAGCTGAATGATAAAATAGTAAAAGTAAAGACAGGGAACAGTTATGGCCAGATGCAAAGCGCCTTGTATGTGCTGTAGGTCCCTGAGGCTGTTCTGCCATTATGTTCATCTGTGGATGAGGAAACAGGCCTGGGAGAATGCTACTTGGCCAAGGCCACCCAGTTGGCCAGTGGTGGACCTGGATCCAAGCCTGCTCTTATCTGCGCCACAGTGCTGATATCAAGCAGGGAAGCTGCAGGCAGGGACACTTCTTTCTCTGTCCTGCTCTGCTCAACTCCTTTTCCCACCCAGGGTGCCTCCCCACCCTGCCCTCCCCAGCCCAGTCTGGGCAGTCTGACAGCGTTCTGGCCACCTGGGTAAGGCTGATGATGCTTGGCTCCAGGAGTTCAGACCCCTATAACCATGTGAGCTCTGAACCCTGGAAGGGAGCCTACTGGGTAGCCTGTGCATCATCTGGCTGCTCTGCCAGCTACCAGGCTCAGCCCCAAGTAGATCAAGGTCTCCGACGAGACTGGATTCCAGGGCAAACCTAAGTCCAGTACCTGAAAGGACTCAAAAGGCTCTGAGCTGGGAGACCATCAGCTCAGAGAACAAAAGGAGTCAGGCTCTGAGCTGGGAGAGCATCAGTAAGGGTTTCAGTGGACCTAAAGTAAGAGAAATAATAGATGTGTGGGGCCTGAGCTGTCCCCAACACCTTCTTTTCTTTTCCCCTAAAACAAGGCCACCATTCACTGGAGGCAGCAAAGCCGCGAAGCACATGGGTAT